GAGAGAGAGAGAGAGAATTGAACCCAGGTCTTTGCACATACTAGGCAAGTGCTCTCATATACCTAGGAAAACAATGTATACAAGCAAAGGATATAAAATAAAACTCCCAAATTTTGTTCAACAGAATAAAGGAGCTCAGAACCATACTTACTGAAAGATATCTCAGCTTTAGAAAATAAAATTAGGATTAGGATTGAGAAGGATCAATCAATTAAACATAAAAGAAGGAAGTATTTGCTTGTGGATTAATAACAATAATAGTGTGTTTTGGTTAAGCCACTAAAAGATTTTATTACCACATGTGACAGTAATTTGACCTCAACTTTGAGATAAATCTGATGGTATTTTCTTCTTGGCGTCCTTTTTTTCATGTTAATTGGAAAAAATAGGTTCTTAGTCTATTGGTGATTTTGAGCATGGGCTTTTGAATTAGACTGCCTATGTTTTAACTAAGTCCTGACCCTGATACTTACTAGCTATGTGACTTTAGCCAAAATGCTCACTCCCTCTTCACCTAAGCTTCCTTAGCTGTAAGATACAATAGTAATAGTATAATAATAGCATAATATTGGGCAACAATGACAGTTAATAATAGTTCATCTAACAGAGTTTCAAGGATCCAGTTAGTTCATATCTCTAAACCACTGAGAAATTTTATCTCCTACATGGTAGTAAATAACAACTCTAGGAGTCAGACTTTTGGAACTGTGGCAGAGGGACCACTACTCAAAAATTGAAAATAATCAAGAAAGCAGATATGTTTACTAAACATTTTCCTTTTTAGAAATAGGAGTGACCATCCTGTATAATTATATTTTTTAATCAAACTTCCCTTTTCTTACAGAAAACTGAAAATTATTACCTTTAAAGCTTACAATCTCACAACATCTTTTAAGAGTTGTCTTTTAGCATATTATATTTTTTACTTTGCTTGGATCCTGACTTTCGCTGTCCTGGTTTATACTGGCCCTGATGCTTTCGACAGCATCTGGTTGCCAGGATGACCGTACAACAGCAAAGAAAGAGGACAGAGGTGCATAAGGCCACAGAAGCTAGCCAGGTCTTTGAAGTCACAGGTGCCCCATTAAGTGTCTCCTCATTTTCAGATGTCTGGTTTCTGCTGTTGTACCCCTTGGTTTTATTTAGTAATTGCTTGCTACTGTTGAGTCGGGATGGAATAGGCATAATAGAAAGCTTTGTGTCAATGGGCACAAAGAAAGGAGAAACAGTTTGATTGTCTGGATCACTGATTAAGTCAGTGCTTGGTGACACCATATTTACCTTAGTGGTAATGGAGTCATTCAGGGAAATGAACCTTGCCCAAAGATCTATTGTTAATTCCTTGGAATAACCAGTACTGTTTGTGTTTACAACCAAATCTTGATGTGGGGCTGATGATGGAGCCTCTGTTGATGGCAACATACCATTTATCGTGGTAGTTTGTTGTTTATTATCTAAATTCATAGCTTTTAGAATCCTTAGTCTATCCCACCTATCAGATGAAGAACGGGTGTTTAGATATGTAGGAGGTGATTGCTCAAAAACCAGCAAATCTGGATCCATACCTGAAAGATAAATAAAATACATTAATTCAAAGAGAAAACCTTAAGCACAAATTGGAGAAAACTGTGTTGGGTTTTGCCACGAAGAATTATTGAACTAAGCTAAGTTCAACCATTGCAAACTCCTAAAAAGCTTAGCAATATACTAGCTTCATTTGAATTTATCTTAACTTCCAGGACATTTTCTGCTATGGACAAATTCAGCCACACCCAAGAAGGTTTTGCACAATAATAGTGTTAGTAGAAAGCTGCAGAAACAGTAACCTTGTGAGCTATGATAGAACATTTTAAAATAAATTGATAAAATAGGATCATAATTCAAAATCAAGAGTAAAGCCTCAAATCTCATCCCTTTCCAATCCTTAAGGGTCCTGCTTTTAATATTTCCTCTTTTGTATACTAACTCCTTTTCCTCTGACTTCAGGCATGCTCAAATCCTCTGCTTCTTTAGAGAGGAAGAAAAAAGCTCAATAGCTTTCTGATGGTCTCTGTTAAGAGACTACTTGGTGGGTATGTCTGTCTGTCTGTTTCTCTCTCTGAAATCATGCCAACATCCATCTCCTTCTTTGTTTTGCTTCTGTAGTCTTCTTAACATTCCTCACTATTCTGTCAAAATAATGTTTCTAAGGCAATCATTTCTCTTGTGTTTTTGGTCCTAGAGATAGAACCCAGGGGCACATTACCACTAAGCTCTATCTTCAGCCCTTTTTATATTTTTGTTTTGAGAACAACTTAATGAGAACCTTCTCACTAAGTTGGCCAGGCTGGCCTTGAGCTTGCAGTCCTCCTGTCTCACCCTCCTGAGTAGCTGGGATTATACGTGTGCACTACCATGCCTGGCTTTCATTTATCATTTCTTGATTACTTGCATCTCATTGCTTTGGCTGCTCTCTGGTCCTCAGTAATGCTGAGGATCCTCTTGAAATTCTTCTCCAATGACTCACTAGACTCCAGACCCTTCACATTTGCCCCAGGCTCCCTGCTTCTCAATTTTACTGTTTTTCTCTCTTCTTGTTCCTAACTGTATAGTTTCTACATTCTCAGTCCTTGGCCTTAAGTTCTGCTACCCCTTGACTGCTTTCTTATCACCCTCCCTCCCCCCACATACAAGAAAATTGTCCCCATCTGCCACCACAACATTGATGACACTGGAATCTATATCACCAATTTTTTCCTCTTTCTTGAGTTCTGGCCTTGTCTCTCCAATGTTTTCCACCTGCACACCTTGTATCGACTTAACTGAATAAGCCCAAAGCTGACATCATTACATCTGCCTCCTTGTCTCAGTCAGTGGCATTATTGTTCTTCCATTCCCCAAACTGGAGTCTGCACTGGAGTGATTTCTGACTCCTTCATTTCCTTCATTCAGAAGGTAACTAAGGCTAGACACAGTGTCACATGCCTATGATCACAAGTTTGAGGCTGGCCTGGGCAACTTAGTGATACCATATCTCACAATAAAAAAATAAAAATTGCTGGAGATATAGCTTAGTGGTAGAGTGAAAGTGTCCCTGGATTTAATCCCAGGTACAAGAAAGAGAAAGCAAGGGAGAAAGTGTGAAGAAAAAGAAAGAAAGGCAAAAAGATAAGTCCAGTTCACTCTGTTTCCAAAGAAATTCCAATATTCTGGTAATCATCCCTCCTTTCCATGGCAACTATAATTACCTTGCCCAGATCTTATGTCTCTCTGACCAAATTTTCTTTCTCTTCTTTTTTTTCCCCCTCTGGTACTGGGGAGGTATATCACCAGTCCCTTTTATTTTTTATTTTGAGACAGGATCTTGCTAAGTTGCTAAGGTCAGCTTCACACTTGGGACTAGACTTTCTGCCTTGTGCCCTGCATTTAACTTTCCTAGACTAAGGTCATCAGACTTACCATTTTAATTATGCTGTTTCCTCATTAAATGTCTTTATCAATTCCCTATTTCTGAAAAATTCCTTCCAAAACACTACTCTGTCCATAGCCCTTTGGCTAACTGACCCCACCCTCTCTAGATAGCCATATTTTCACTGCAACTTCAAATGTC